CTTTATTATGGAAAAACTTACTTCTGAAAAACCTAGCATGGGGTATTTTGTCCCCTTGGGACAGTTCTAGTTTCATCAAATTTCATACATTTACACAAATTTTCATGTCATATTACTAAATAATATACACTTGGCAGGGCATTCATGTCCTATGGACATATTTGTAGTTTCTGGTGCTTTGTTCACATTAAACAAGTGCAGTAAGTCATGCATCAAATGAGATTTCCAGCGTTGTGAGAAAGAAAGAAAAATGGCGGCTTCCAATAAAAAAATCGAAATACAGTATGAGTTCAAATTTTCATTTCCCTTGAATTTTGGTGTTTATATACTGCCGAGAATAATAACTTATGATTTTAGTAACAAAATATGAAAAGTATGTATACATATATCATTCTACATTTAGCTGATGATTGGCCACAGTGATATAATATTTTAAATCTGTTATGAATGATTTCAGTAACAATTGATCTATTTTGGATGTTACACTGAGTATCAATACACTTTGTTACACTTAGTATCTATACACTTTTACAAGTCCTTGCTTGTATCCTACCCACAGTGTAGACTTGTATAGTGATAATCTGTATGGACAATTCACTTCATTATCTGTCAGTAAGAACTTCCAGAACTCCCCGTCAGGACTCAGTAGATGGATCTGTTTGTTGTTAGGGTCAGTAACAAGGATGTTACAGAAGGAGTCACACACTACATCAATTGGATCAAAGTTCTTTGCCAGGTTGTGTCCACGGTAGACAGACTTTATACGACCAGAAGGAGACATAATTACTAGTTCACCTGTAGTGTCACTATTACTGTTCACAACACAGATATCAGTGTTGTTGTTCTGTGTGACTCTGTGTGGGTATGTAAACAGTCTAGTCTGACCGTCCTCCTGGTACTCATACTCATGGATGACATCACCTGTCAATGTGATGTGTCTCACCAGACGTCTGCTGTGTGACTCTAATTTGTAAGGATCTGTGCAACCAGCAGTCCACCATCCACTGACTGACAGATTCCTACTGGTAACAGTGGATCTGTACTGATGATTGTAGAGACAGATCCTGATGGTGACAGACGGCTTATGGACTTGTTAATACTTTCAGTAAAATAAACATCACCAGTATCAGTCACACACATGTCATTAGGACAAACACTATATCTATGTTTTATTGCACCGTTATTATCAACCTTTTCTGTATAATGTGATAAAGTTTCTCTTATGTAACATTGCTCTTCACTGAAAGCTTCCAAAACAAATATTGATACACCTCCATATTGGAATGAATTTGTCTGAGTAGCAGTAATATTATCTAAATTTAAAGTTTTTCCAACCAAAGATTCTACTATGTCATCATTAATTTCACCTCTAGTGAACCTTACTGAATGTTCACGGCTTTTTGTATGAACCTTCAATTCAGACAGCATTTTTGTCAGTTCTCTGTGGTTGTCAACCAAGCTGTACTCTGACATGGTGCTGTTGTTCTCCTCCATGAATTCCACTGTTTTATTAAATCCTCTTTTCATCTTCTCTAACACAATTTTCACCTCGTGTAATTCATCATTCTTTTGAACTAAGTTGTCTCTAATTGTTTGTTCATGACGTTTTCTGAATTCTATCAGCCTGGCTATTATATCGTCAACATGCTTCTGAAGCTTTTCAATTTCAGAATCACTCTGTTCGTTATTTTCTGTCACCTGTTGTAGAATCTTCTTTATTTTCATATCAATCCCGGGCAGATCCTCTTCCTTAATCTTGTTCAGAAATGTAGGTAGACCTCTCCTCCTTTGGGTGGCTGCCGTGGGTATAGTGTTCCAATCTCTATGATCTGTTTTGGCACATTTAGCACAAATAAATTCATCACAATCCTCACATATCATATCAATAGGTAACTCATGAGTTTCACACATTACTACGGGCGCTAGAGGAGAACCAAGGGAATGTTTTTCTGACTTACTGTCAGCCATGTTTGTCGGGTGTAGCCTAGTACCTGAATGACCTAGTTTCTAGTGTGCATATTAGATAACAGGTATATAATAATAATAATGATTGGATTTATATAGCGCTTTTCTAGCATAAATGCTACTCAAAGCGCTTTACAATCATTATTACCCCAGCAGACCTTAACAATCCAGAATCTTTCTCAGTGCAAGCTGCCGTAATCAGCGCTAGAACACTAACATTCTGACAATATCTTTCACTGTCTATAGCCAGGTACCCCTTTTACACTTGGGTGGAGTGAGGAAATTCATGTAAAGTGCCTTTCCCAAGGACACAACGTCGACTTGCCGCGGCCAGGATTCGGACTCACAACCTTTCGGTTTGGAGTCCGGCACCTTAACCACTAGGCTACCGACGCCACAAACCACTAGGCTACCGACGCCGGTCGGGTATATAAGTCGGGGATATAAGTCGGGTTTAAAATTTTTAATTTATTCAATGTGACACTTTGTTGCGCAAACCTTAAGGTGTCTTTTATTTGAAGTGAGAAAATCATTTGGATTAGAAAAATAATCATGAATGAAAAGTTGATTACATGTATAATTTATTTTTTCAGATACAAAAAGTAATTATTTAATTAAATGGGAAAAATCCTTTCAGTCTATATATCTTACAATTTTATCATCAGGATGAAATTTGTTGAGTCATATTACACTTCACACACACTTACCTTATAATTAAGTAACCTTAATTTTTAATTATCTCACCTAAAACTTGGTTCAGCTGCAAAAGTTTCTTGAAATGAGTAATTACAGGTATAACAATGCATGCAGTAGTACACTTGATTTGAACCTTTTACATTGATTTTTAGTAGATATTTTTTTCAGGTTTTTAAAGTTTTTTAATGAACAATGTAAAGTATTTTCACCTTTATTCCAGTATTTTTAAAACTCTTGTACATTATTTGGGTCTAAAAATTATCACATGTATGTATAATCATTTATTTAATCAACTTTTATTTTCAACAACATTTATTTATGATTCTTTAGTTTAAAATCAATTTGTTACTATTAATTTCTGCGAGTGAGTAAAGAAGGTTTATTACAAAATTCGTTTTTGATAGTTTTAGATATGTAAATATAAGTTGATTACCTTATTTGTGTGACAAGTAGTATACATGTAGTACTAGCTGCAGATATATAGCATTATGGTTTTTTATATTTGTCTGTGACCATAACTTTACAGATCCCGTAATGCAAAAAAGGTGTAAAATACGGTGAAATATTTTTTGCGCATTTTTGGGGAGAATTTCTCCACATTCCAGCATCGGTCAATTAACTACTTCTAGTTACACTCTCTAATTCTTAGCACATTATATTACTAATCTGTGTCTTTTATCCATCTCCCAACCATTTATAGTCCCCCAAATGAAAAAAAGGGGGAAACAAAATACTATAACAAAATACTTTCAAAACACGTTTTGACAGTATTCCGATAGTATAGCAAATCACATGCAAATGAGCTAACAAAACACTATAACAAACTACTAACAAAACACTTTCACAAACTACTAACGAAACATATTAACAAACTATACTTACAAAACACTCTAACAAACCACTAACAAAACACTGTAACAAAATACTTACGAAACACTTTAACAAGCTACTGACAAAACACTTTAACAAAATACTTACGAAACACTCTAACAAACTACTAACAAATCATAAGCAACAAATCATCAATAAACCACTAAATTTGAATTTTTAAAATTATAATTAGCAAATTCACAAGTCTTTGAAAACATATAAACACAATTCTCATATTGAAACATAAACACCTTGTTTCACTGTGAGTATTTTGAATTCCAGGATTGACATTATTCTCCAATAGACAATAGCACACCATTCCAACATTTAAAAACTTAATTGAGATCAATTCTCAAGCCATTGGCCACTTCTCCAATTACATATTCACAGAATTTTCAAGTATAATTATAATTCATCATTTAATCCAGTGCTTAAAACTGATATAAGCTGGGTAGTATATGGATTAAAGGTCAATCTTAATTAACATGAACAAAACCCCAATAAAAACAGGCCATATTTAATGTACACATCCACATTCACAGATCGAAGGTTATTGTAATCCAGCATAAAAGAACTTTATGTCATGCAATGAATAAATACCTCTGTTATATCCAGATACATCCTGATTATGTTTTTTCCAATCAGGGATCAATTAATATACATGTATACACTTTACATGTCCCTTCATCAATCTCTATGTTTCTCTCTGACCTAGTGCTGGTGGTTTGAAAATTGGCGCAAAACTAGTAACACAGGATGAAAATAGATAAGTTGTCCTTGGAAGATTTTACTGCACCTAGATAATTCAACCCTCAACATGTCTGTTAATCAAATGAAATGCTAACAAAATATTACATGTACTTAGATGCAGACAAGTATAATGAAACACTTTCAAAATGCAATTTCATTCTGCAGAGTGTAAAGAAACATTAATAAAACACCAACAATGTAATGAAACATTAACAAAATACCATGCCACTCCATCCTGTAAAGTCTTGGATTGATGTTTCATTAAATGCAACACTTTCAAAACATACTAAGAAAATATAAAAGTATGATTTGTTAGTGTTTTGAAGATCTTTTGCAAGTATTTTGTTAGATTTCTTTTTCATTTGGGGGCCTCTCTACAAATGATAAACTGGTTTGATTAAAATTATTTGTTAGATTGCTGAAAATTCACTTACGTGTAGAGACAACTATAAATAGTTGGGAGGTGGATAAAATATACACATTGGCTATAGAATGTGTCTAGAGTTAGGAAGTGATAGGTAGTTGATTGACCAATGCTAGAGAGTGGAGAAAACTCTTCCCATAAGTGCGCAAGAAATATTGCACCATTTTTGCATTGCGGGATCTGTAGCATTATGGTCAAAGACAAATATATTGAACCATACCATTACAGATCTGCAGCTAATGTAGTACTTAATGTTGTTTTTGTACATTTGACTAATTGTCTGTAATCATTACAGGAGTTAGAGGAATTCTGGGCCTATCAAGAACTCCTGGGAACCTTTGTCAAGCGCCTGGCTTATTGTGTGTCTGCAGAACTCCTACCGCTCATGGAAATACCAGGTGTCAAACTGGTACATCATTTTGTACAGTAAAACTCGTTTCCTATAGATGTCTAGTTTTTAATTATGTCTATTATGATGTAGACAATGTTTACAAAAATTGTCATAATACAGATAAAGACATCTGAAAGAAATAATGTCAACTAAATAGTTGCTTAATCTATTTGAACGTTTTGGATTTGAAGTTTTTCAAAATGAGATATTCTTTACAAATTGTTTTTGACATCGTACAGGGTAGAGCTAAGCAGTTATACAATGCGGGATTCCAGTCTGTGGCGTTAGTGGCAGCTGCTGATCCCGAGATCCTTGTTAAATCCATACAGCAGATCCCTCGTAAAGTGGCCAAACAGATCGTCGCTTCCGCAAAAGTGAGATTTCTTGTGTGCCTTAATTTTATGACTTTTAGATTTTGATACAGCTCTCCTGTCCTTTTAATTTATAAATATTTAATCTGTACAGATAAGTTTTTGTCTTAAAAAGAAATTGAGTGATACAGAGAAATATTATTTATTAATTTGTTAACACCTTTTATGTCTCATAATACACTTCTTAGCCTTCCTTTACTCAAGGTATTATAAAGATATTATGCACATTCTTTGGTTGATAGAAATTTAATTATGATTACGCTTGTGTTAAAGGAATGATTAAACAACCCAGATTTATTTTTAGATTTTGCTGAATGAGAAAGCAGAGGCCTTACTACAGGAAGTAGAGGAACTGGTGACGGTTCCGGTCGAGTGATCAACCGTACATAGTTCACAGGGTCAAACCTCTCCCTGGGATGATATGGACTTGTTTTCTAGTCTTGATACACAGTCTTCTACCTCATGATAAAAATTGACACCCTTTTTAGCTCGAAGACAAAAAGTGCATTTAGATAAAGGGAAAAAAACCTCAAGAACCCTCCTAATGATTTACATGTAAATTCCTGCAGTCCTTTGGGTTTAAGTTTAAGTTAGTTGAATGTGACGTCATGGTTAAAAAGACTGTAGTGCATAGGATGTTCAAATGTTCATTAAACTTCTGAACATATCTATATATATATATATATATTGTTTTTTTTTTTTTGAAAGATAATAATTAACTTGTACATAATAGAACTTTTATGTATAGCACACAAAGTGAATGTGCAATATCTCCCAAATAAAGAGGGATGTTTATAGAAATATAACTATCTGAATGGTATTGAAACTGCTTCCAGATGTGTGATATTTGGGCTTAAATTCTTGTCTTAAGTCTGTGCCACACAGCTTTCAAGAATTTAACTTGTCTGTATCATACCATGCTTACATGATGGTTGTTAATATGAGTACAGTTTCTGTGATATAAGCACATGCATGTACCATTAGTAATGAACACGTTTATGTCATGATTCTAGTTGACTGGTCTCAGTTAACTAATTATTGACAATGGTGTTAAAGTATTTTTAGAAATTTATTGTTCTATTGTTCTAATGCATGTATTTAATGAAGCCTCATATTTAAATATTTATATGCCACTGTGACATGTACATAGAAGAAACTAGGTAACATTGAGATGGTGGCCATTTCAAAGGGCCCCGCATTCAACAATGAACATGAAAATGTAAGGTCATTTAAAAGGGATTATTTTGAAGAGGAACATTTGTGTAATACAGTAAAAGTGATTTAGTACGACTTCATGGATACTGCAAATTTACTAATATTTATCGAAGTTATCTTGTAACCGAGTTATATAAATTTACTTGAATTAAAAGGCAAAAAATTATGCACCGAACAAAGATTTTAAACAGAAAGGGTAATTCTGTCCATGACCTAGAAACTTTGACCAAGGTCACTGCACATCCATTGACCAGTGGATCTCTATGAGTGAAGTGATAGCCAGATTGGGCCAATGAGAGAGAAGATATACTCCGAACTAGGATTTTTCATATAATTCTGCAATGACCTTGACCTTTGACCTAGAAATCTTGTTCATGCACACCGGTTACCCAAATGCACTCTGTGGGTGAAGTATGAGGCAGTTTGGGCCAAGGAGAGAGAAGATATGCTCCGGACAAGGATTTTTCATATAATTCAGCTATGACCTTGACCTTTGACGTAGAAACCTGGTTCAAGGTCACTGCACACCTGTTACCCTGAAGGCACTCTGTGGGGTGAAGTATGGGCAAGATTGGGCCAAGGAGAGAGAAGATATGCTTTGGACAAGGATTTTTCATATAATTCAGCTAACCCTAACCCTAATCTAACCCTAACCTGACCGTGACCTTTGACCTAGAAACCAGGTTCAAGGTCACTGCACACCGGTTACCCAAAGGCACTCTGTGGGTGAAGTATGAGCCAGATTGGGCCAAGGAGAGAGAAGATATGCTCCGGACAAGGATTTTTCATATAATTCAGCTATGACCTTGACCTTTGACCTAGAAACCTGGTTCAAGGTCACTGCACACCGGTTACCCAAATGCACTCTGTGGGTGAAGTATGAGCCAGATTAGGCCAAGGAGAGAGAAGATATGCTCCGGACAAGGATTTTTCATATAATTCAGCTATGACCTTGACCTTTGACCTAGAAACCTGGTTCAAGGTCACTGCACACCGGTTACCCAAAGGCACTCTGTGGGTGAAGTATGAGCCAGATTGGGCAAAGGAGAGAGAAGATATGCCCCAGACAAGAGATCTCGGACTGGACGGACGGACGGACAGACTGATCACTATAGGACGCCCGCCAAGCGGGGCCCTAAAAAAAACCCTGGTGATTTTACATTTAATCTGGAAGATATTTCAACTTATGTTATACGATATAACATAACTTGGGGCAGTTTAGGCTTTATAAACCGCGAAGCGGTTTATTAAAAATCGTAAACTGCCCCATAGTTTTGTTATATCGTATAACATAAGTTGAAATTAGCTTCATTCCTTATAATTTAATTTCAATATAGACAAGAAGACAATTTTCCCTCCAGAATAAGGCTTCAAATTTAGCATTATTTTAAAAGTTACGTCAAGGGTATATTTGCGAGGGCCTCTGAGGAGGCATTACCTCCACAGTTATTGTTATTATGTTATTGAATAAAACATTTAAAAAAAAAAAAAAACTTCACTATCCTGTCTGTAGGAAGTGTGGAGCGAACGTTTCCCTTAAGGATGCAAAAGCTACTTGAAAATGGCTTAGGTACGCATTTCCATTGCTCTAACTGGAAAATTTCGATGTAAAGGTAATGGAGAGTTGCTGATGCGAATTTCACTACTTTACTCCTCAACAGGGTCTTACCATCACAGTCCTTGTACCGGAAGTCCAAGGATGGCTACACTGCTTTAAGTTAGAGAAAATTCGACCTAATCATCTGAAAAACTGTTATTTAGAAATGCCAAAGAATAATGCCTTCGCTAAGATCTCGATATTAATGAACCTATTGGTTCGTAGAAATTAAGCTGCAACTGTTGTTTACAGCAGTCTTGCACGTTTTACTTGAACGCCAGGGAGGGGGTGTTTTAACAGCCATATTTTACCTAGCAAAGTAAACAGATAAACATTTAACATTTTTATCAAATTTCTAATGTTTTGAAAAGTGAGTTTATCCTAACTTTATTTGCTTTTGAAAATCATCAGTTAAAAAAATATAAAATTTGTAGATTACTGCTTGTTGCGTTTCTTTTTGCGTGTCAGTATATATTCATATTTTTAATCTTTCTTATTTTCTTTAAGACTTTAACGCTCCTGTAAATGCCTGTATATACAAATATATAATCTTTTAATGATCCAATCCAGAGAAGATGCGAACTGTGATCGTAGCTTAAGCTGTATGGATATTCTACTCCTTACTTTTCTGTCAGTAGCACTGTCAGGAACTGACCATCCTTGTCAATCATCTGTACTGTCTTTGTGTTTATGTCACACACAATGATATTTAACAGTTCATCTGTACAAATTCCACGTGGTTCAAAACTTGATTCTGGTTTATTCCCTTTATAGGAGAAGCGATGTGTGCCTTTACAGTCTGTTACCACTACAACACCTGATCCAAAGTAGCCAATACTGGAGTCCGAAACAATCACATCTCCATTTTGGTTTTCTGTGATATATTTAGGATTAATATATTGTCCCTGACAAGGGTTATGTTGGAGTTCTTGCCCTGTACTTTTGTATCGGCCCACCATGGCTGTATATTTATCCTTTCTCTTCATCCCAATAAGAAAATCTCCATTTAAGCGAGAGCAGTAGAGACAGTATGGTTTCCAAGGTTCTGCTATTCTTATCGCTGTAAACTTTGTTTCATTGTTTGATGAGAGTTTCTTAATATTATAATCCCTATCTATGTATACAAGATTGCCTTCTCTAGTCACTGTGTGTACACCATCGTTATTACATTTATCTCTAAGAAAAATTAAATTGTCACCCACGGTACCTGTTAAGTTTAAATGATTCCAACTGCTGACCCAAGCAACGTCTGCTGTCATACATGAGATATGACATTAACATTTTCTATCTTTTGTGTTTTTCTGAAGGCTGTCACTAGAAAGATTTGAGATATGTAGACACTGGTAAGACATCTTTCCAATTTATTTTTGAATTTTATCTGTTAAAAACATTTCTTACTTGTCTTTTTCCAGGTTAGGAAGCTCTATGATAGAAATTCCCCCAAGAAAAAAACATTATCTTTATTGATTTCCTTGCTCGGAGAGTGAATTTGAATTATTTGTGTACTAGTTCTTCCAGGTTAAAATGCCATCTCTTTTGTAAAAGCTGTATTTCTTGGAAAATAAAATAAACTGTATCGCTCTGTTTGCTAAATGTTCAGATCTGTAGACACAGTGTTTGTATAGATCCGATTTGAACTCCTTTGTTGTTTCTATTTAGAGTTGAACAACATTTTATTTGCACCCTTGTGTGCTCTAAATGTATCTCCCAATGTCACATGTATGAGATCCTTAAGCCTTTTTGCTTTAAGAATCATATTTCTCTGGAGTTTAAAGATTTCATTTTGACAGGATTTGAAATCAGAATAAATACCTGACTTGATACTCATGATTCTGAAGTATAATCAGACTTTTAACAATCTGAAAAATTCTTTTTTGATGTTGTTTCAACCGGCGGCATGATCAACTCTAACAAGAGGTGAGAAATATGATCTGATTTAATATACCTCAACAGATGTAATATCCTGTCTATTGTGTCCTGTGTGCTCTACTACAGTTTGAACAATATATAAGCTACTACATAACAAATCAACAGGCACCACATTTCACAGACCATGCTTAGAGGTGAGAAATATTATTTTCTCACAAGTCTCCAGTAATAGAAAATGACCTCTCCATACTTTAAGCGATCAATCACTACATCGTGGTGTTTTGTATCAAAGTCTATACACATGTTCCATGCCTTACATGGTAACACATATATGTTTACATGTCCTGCAGTAGTATTCTGAATCAGACACACTGAGAACACTTTGGTGGTTTTAACTGTGTAAGGGAATACCTTATTATTATGCTATGGTAAAATTAACCTCAGACAGACAGACAATGACCTGTTTAGGTTCTTCCAGTTGTTTAAATGTTTTCTTCATTGGTATAATTCATCTTGTAGAAATCTCAATATCTGTTTAATGAACCGCAGGTAGAAAATTACACGGATTTTCAGCCATAGATTGTCACTATATTTCTTATATTTATATTAAGTATGCTTGGACAAATTTCCATGGAAAATTTGTGACCGCGTACATAGTGTAAATTAAAACAACACGGAAAAAAAATACTTTTACAGTATATGTAATACTGACCTCAGACAGACAGACAAGGACCTGAACCATGCCTAATAGAGGTAAGAAATATATGCAATACCGACCTACAGAGCAGACAGACAGACAGACAACGACCTGAAGCAGGCCTTAGAGGTGAGAAATATGTCTTAAACTGATAGACAGACAGACAACGTTATTACATTTGTACTTGAACCAGGCTTTAGAGGTGAGAAATATATGTACATGTAAAACTGATCTCAGATAGACAGACAATGATCTGAAGTTCATTTCTTACTTGTCTTTTTCCAGGCTTTCGAGGTGAGAAATATGTCTTAGACTGACCATCTGTATAAGTGATTAATATGCTTTACAGTATGTCTCATTGTCGTTGAATAAATTCATCTGGAGATTGCCACTCATCATGAATTGAGCTCAAGCAGATAGGTTACCTCAAGACTACAGGAGATTTGCTTTAATGTTATTAATTTTCATTAATTTCTCCTCATCTGTGGGTTCTACAGTTACATCCTGAGCTGTTTACATCTACCAGATCCAGAAAAGAAATCAATCCGCATCACAGACGACATGATTGCTCAGGTATATGTGTAAAAAACAAATTACAATGCTGCAAAAAAATTATAAATTATAGCAGCCAGTTTTTAGCTCACCTGAGCCGAAGGCTCAAGTGGTTTTAATTTCTGATCACAATGCTTTGGTAAAATTAATTCCGTCCGTCTTCCAGTTGTTAAACTTTTCACATTTTCGACTTCTTCTCAAGAACCACTAGGCCAATTTTGACCAAACTTGGTACAAAGCATCCTTGGGTGAAGGTGAATTTAATAGCCATTCTCTTATCAATCAGTTTGAACTTCGTTGCCACGCATGGTCACCGATTTTGATGAAACTTCACCCATGCATAGTACTTGACACCAGAAACAAATATCAAACAAAATTTCGTTGCTAAGTGTCTCGGATTTTTGCTATGGCAACAGCCGGAAAAATTTGAAAAATCAAGATTTTCAGCCACTTTAAATCTTGACTGTGGCTAAATAAAAACTAGAAAAAGCAAACAAACCATTCTCACAAAAACATGACACCTTAATGTCACTTATACTGTAAAGAAAGTGTTTAGAATATATCTCTAAGTAAGTGGTATCCAAGGGTACATTTGGAATACATTTAAAATGCTGAAATATGCCGAAAAACACTCCGTATTCACTAATGGTAGGTGTTACATGCTCAAACTCAATCAACGACTTAAGAAAAACAATGAAAATGTTTGACCTTAAGTATATAAGTGTAAGCAATATTATTCTATAACTAACTTTTATGGTTGCCATGGTAACACAGTGTAACCATGCAAAACCAGTAACTAAGATTGGGTTAATGCTACTTCCTTGAGGAAAAACATAAAAATTCAAGACTGGCAAATATGCATCCTTAGGACCTTACATCACCAAATACACGAGAAAAATTGGGTATAATTGCTACTTTGCAGTGTTACCATGGAAACAAAGTACCAGTGCTTAAAAGCGAATTATTTTTCGCTGCATTAAGAATTAAATTGCCATATAATCAAGAAACAAATTAAAGGACTCAGCTTGAATAGTACTTATCTGTTAGAACTGAAGTTGAATATCATATATTGATAAAATTTGATGAAGAAAACAACACCGTTGCTATGGTTACCAAGAAGGGAAAATGTTCGATTTTGTGAACTTTATATCAATATTAAACCCTGTGTGCCAACTTCTTGCATCCACTTAGAGATTGGATGATAGTCAAAATTAAAAGTCAGGTTAGCTGTTAATAAATATCAATCATAAAAGTTTTGGGAATCTACATTTAAGGGTACGTATCCAAGGAAAGAAAATATTTTTCAGGTTTTTAAGCATATATTTTCGGCTTATTTCCATAGCAACGCTGTATTTAAAGAATCTAATCTGATTTTTTTCAAATGGGAAAACTTGGAGCACCCCAACATCTTTAAAAATTGATCATTAGTTATGGGGAAATGTGTTTTTTTAAAAGATAGGATCAGATTTAAAAATACAGAGTGTTACTTTGAAGGCTCTCTTTGGTATAAAAACCTTGGCAACCATTGCCAACCAATATGAAATATCATATTTTGTTCTTGGTATATGTTTCAAGGCTCTTTTTTCTATTATTTGGTCACATTTCATCCTATAATTGCTTTTTATTTTTACGTGTATGAATTTATAAAATTCAACGAATATTTTTTTTTTACTTTTGAATACTTTGTTACCATAGTAACGTATGTAATAGTTGATTTACCAAACATGTTTATCATGCATTTGAGACATCTGACCTTCAACTTTTGGAAACAGTCATTGCCAATTGTTTGCTTTGCCGCAAATGTTAACAATGGGGCTCTAAACATGTTAAAATATGCCATTTTTCGAACTTTAAGACATGTTGCCATGGTAACTATAAAGCATAGCAACCAATTTTTGCCTGATTTCAGTTTAGGGTATCAATGACTTTTATCATAGAGAGTTTGGAGAAATTCTGAGACTATGTGTGCCACAGCTCCTATATAAAATTTCAAATCATTACAGAGAATGGCTCTTACTGTTTAGTTTAAGCAATATTACTCAAGAATAAATTCTTTTTTATTCAACTGACATAACAGATTAAGTCCACATAAAGAAATTATAAGCAAATGAGCTCTACTTAATTTTCTATCGTAAATTTGTAACTATTTTTTCTGCAATCATTGTCAGAATGTTCTCAATCTTTATTATGATGAGGAGTATACCAAATTATTACAAAAAGTGATTAAAATATATACCTTTCCCAACAAACTAATGAGAGATTTTTTTTAACCTACACCGGATTTAATTGTTAAATGATTTGTTTGGGGTAAAGTTCAGATTTACAAAGTAAATATTTAACAAAAATTGTAATATTTAATTTTAAAATATATTTTAGAGAAGAATTGTTATAAAATACAACCCATTAAATATAAACATGAATAATTAACAAATAATTGTGAAAAAAATATATACATCGTTTTATAACAAACATCCGCAGAATTTACCAACAATCTTCAACTTATCTTCCCCGTGGGGATCCGGGTTTAATGGTCCTCCTTTGCTTGTCGTAAAAGGCGACTAAATGGGGTGGTCCTTCGGATGAGATCGTATAAACCGAGGCCCCGTGTCACAGCAGATATGGCAAGATAAAGATCTCTCCCTGCTCAAAGCCCCTAAGTGCCGAGCATAGGCCTAAATTTGCAACCCTTCACCGGCAATGGTGACGTCTGCATATCAGTGAACTATTCTGGAAGGGGACGTAAAACAGTATACAATCAATCTACACGTGTTCAACTTCGACACATTTCATCAAGATATTGCACTACATGTATTTAGTCGACAACTGAAGAATTCGTAGGATATTTGTTTTCAAACAAAATAGTTGACA